GGCGAGGAGGGGCGGTGGGAGGGCGGGACGGCGGATGGGCCTGCGAAGCGGAGAGTATTCCGCCCGCCCCTTGGCGGAGAAGGCGTGCTGACCTCTGGGGGGGCCAGGAGAAGCTGTTTCTAAGATCAAGGGTCCAAGAAATGAAGGACAGTCACTAGAGCAGGGTGCAGGAAAGGAAGAGGAACGAGCTGGAAGCACAGCAGCCAGGCACCGAGCACAGGTGAGAGGGTCAAGACCTCACAATGCAACGTTCCTCGAATAGAAAGAAGAAATAGGCCGATAATGTTCATAGAAATAATATGGTTTAACTTTAAATGGACTCAAACGCTATTCCATAGTAGGTTCTCAACCACTGAAGAAATCACAGACCATACCCAGGTCAGCAATCTCTTGGGAGCTGGTTTGCTTTAGTTTTCAGAGAGCAGCAGTCTTGAGAGCCTAAAAGCCTCTTATTTGGGGGGGGGGGAACATGGCCTAATGCATAGTGGGGGTTTAGAATTGCCTCCATAATATTTCATTATTGTGTAGAAGTTATATAAACAGAAATATCCCAGTTTTCTTCTGAAAATGCCAACTCCAGTTTAGTAGGTCTGGACGGGCCTGAGAGACTTCATTTCTAAGAGGTTCCCAGCAAAGGTCTAGACCAAATAGTCGTGGTTTTTTGAAAAGCAAACATTTAAGGTCACATATTAAGCATGGGAAAGAATTCCTCCATCCACAGACATCTGCTGTAAGACATGATGTAACTGGTCACCAAAGCACACCTGCCCCTGCCATTGGTCGCTGGAAACTCTGCCCTATCAGAGGGGTAGATTTTAGGGACAAGCGCCTGGATAAAGAACAAAGAGAAGAATGGAATAAGTGGCAGGACAGGAGGTAATAGACATGGTGGGTGGAGAAGAAACGGCAGATCCTCCCACAGTGGCCAGAGGCAGTCTAGCCTAATGGTTTGGGGAGCCACACTCCCTTAGACTTCAAATCGGGGCCCCTCCACTTACTAACTGCATGATCTTACACAAATTACTTTACTTTTTTTCTTTTTTCTTTTTTTGCCACAGTTCTTCATAGATGGGGATAACAATTCCTCAAAGAGTAGTTATAAGGAGTAAAAAAAGAGAATGTCAGAAAATAATGTAATGCATTAATGATATTATAATAAACTATAATAAACACTAAATAATTGTAATCTTTGACTATAAGAAATAAAAATGTATCAGCTTGAGATGCAAAGGAAGCTCTCCAACCATCACAAGTATTAAGAAAACAACCTAGAAATTTATTAATGTTACTAAAGCATAAATAGCCCCAAATAGATATTTAAGTATACATGTTGGTCCATATATAAGATTTGTATCTTAAATATTTGGGATTCCATCCAAAGAAATGACATGTATGTAATGTGGGACATTATTAGGAGTTTGCTTTTTGACTAAAATATATATAGTCTTTATTGTTTAAGGCTTGCACTAAATTGTGGCTAAGCATTGCAATATTTAGAAAAGCAATTAGAGAACAGAAGGTTTAATATAGCTTCTAAAGGAAATACGTGTTTTATATCTAAGTTATATTTCTAAATAAAAATAAGGCCTTTGAAAGCTTTTTAGTATCATGTAGAAATTTATCATGGAATCACATTTAAAGTAAAATATCAGTTGTCTCATATATCTGATAATAAGATACATTTTTACATTTTCATCAGGGATTCTTTAACATCTTGGAGACACCGCCTGAGAGGTGATATAAATTGTGCCAATTACATTTATTTCAATTAATTGCAACTCTCTAGGTCTTTACTGGGCTTGAAGCTCTTCTTTATTATTCTCAGATATTATGTTACTCACATGGGTCCTTCACAAAGCTTTCCTTTCTACTGTGCTTCTGCCCCACCCTACATAGATATAGTAGAAAGAAAAACAGATCTTTGGTGCTAGAGACACCTGGGACCGAATCTGGTACGGCCTTCACCACCTGAGACCTGCATGGCCTTAGATAAGGCTCTTTCTCTGAGACCTGGTTTCCTCGCTCATGTCAATACCCACTGTAGTGGATAATTGAAGATTAGAGATAATGTTTGTTAAGAGTCTGCATTGAGGCTGTTCATAGAAAATACGCAATGAATATGACTTGTTATTATTTATTACTGAAGTGTCAACTCATGTGCCACCTATTCTAAGAAGCATTCTTGGAAGCCCTGAAGATGGAATCAGTTTTTACCTCCTTTAATATCCAGAGGTGCATTTTACTTGCACCTGGTTACTTTTATATGTGGCATTTTAATTACTTGATGTATAGATTATGTCTTCTATAAGTGTGACATCTCTAGAAGAAAAATGTAGGTTTCCCGATTCCCATGTACACCATGCAGCTAGCCAGGAGCTTGCAAATAATAGGTGCAATATCGAATATTCAGTGAATATTTCTTTAATAGAGCAAAAATCACTTTCTGACAGGACTCACGTCAATTTTTAGTTGGTGTACTTCTGGTTTTTCCAACTTTTCCCTGCCCCACCAAATTGAATTACACCAGACACCGAATGTTTGACAATCTTTTCCCTCAAGTACGATTTATTTAACAGTCATATATAAGAAGAAATACAGAGAATTACAGCAGAATAAAAACGCAAGAAATGTAGCCTGTCATATTAAAGTGGAATAAAAGAGGCACTGGCTAAGTGAAAAGGCCTGTGAAAATATTAGGTATACGTTGGGTAGCTGAGGATAAAAGTGCAAAGCAGGACACTGAGGACGCAGCGGCCTAACCCACCAGTCTCTTCCTGAGGGTGACTCAGTGCCGATGCTTGCAGAGGGTGGCCCTGGTGACCCGGCTCCGACTCCCCCAGTCGACACTAGTCGGAAGCTGTCTGAGAGGGAGAAGGAAGAAGGGAGGAAGCAGAAAGG